TTATATATAATTTATAATATATTGCAATTATATTATAATATAATTTAAAGAATAAATTGTTATAATCAAATTTTCAAATGCCTTCCACCTATTTTAAATCTTTCTACTTTCAACTTAAGCGGTTATTCATTCGCACAAGCGCATTGACCGATTTCGTACAGACAAGGATAGATAGATGTAGGGGACACTTTTGTTATGTGTATTTAGATAGGCTATGCCCCTTCCAGTATATATGTTCTAAGATATTTAGATAAGCTATGCCCCTTCCAGTATATATGTTCTAAGGCTTGGAGCCGCGGTGACTCGTAATCGTAAACAATATCATATCCATGGTGGAAAGGAACAAGGTGAGTTATTGCGCATAATGGCGGCAAAGAGTTGGGGGACTTGCTTGTCAACCAATCACAGGGGACCCATTTTATGCGCGCAAAATTCAAACGTTCACAGCTGATTAAAAAATCAAAACAGTATTGTAAATAAATAAATACTGCGACTATTACAATTTTTAATGCAACAGGTCGGCATACTGTCTACAAAGATAAAGTCACATAATATTACATATTACACCAAACTCTAAACAAATCTTCATATTATATATTCATTTATTACTTACACGACGGTCACATCGGTCTTTTTCCAAATTTAAGAAAACTCTCTGCACGAACACTATATATTTTTTTAAGAGGACTGTATACACTTTATATACGTTAATAAAGCATGTCATCAGCCATCAGCCATACTAAATTTTCATGAAATGGGCCCCCTATGATTGGCTGTCCGCTCCCCACTACCTTTATAGCGTTTTCGAGTAAACGGGGTTTGAACGACCCAAGATTGGTTAATGACGTCATTGCAACCTCTCCACCAATGAAAGACTTGCATTTATAGTAAAATAGTGATTGATCAACCCTAGATCGTTCAAACCCCGTTTATTCGAAAACGCTATTAGACTACTGCGCAACCACGAGAATAACTCACCTTGTTTCTTTCCACCATGATCATATCATTGCCGAATGCTGTCGAATAGACTCACAATCAGTTTGGCTCACCATTTTCGTTACACACCACGAGGCTTGTTCGTTTTTTGTTTTCGATCAATTCGCCAAAACGTCTCAAATACACGTAAGTAATAAAATCGATTGATGCTAGTTAAGCACATGTAAAGATGATCTAATAACATCATAACTTGGCAGCACGTTAACGAAGCCGGTCACATCTTTTAGACCAGAATCTTTTGTGTTGCTCATGTGTCGCGTTACAAGGTGTTGACTCGTACAGTTGTTTGGCCGTCGATCTCTATATAACAGTAATTATTAGATGATTGCAGGCGGAATTTTTTTTCGAAAAAAATGCGTTGTTACGTAATGAAATCGTGGACATTTAATTAACGCGACTTTGAAGAACGTGTTGTTTATGTGCTCCCTATAAATTTTTATTCTTGACAGCTTTTTAATTTACTGATACACACCTTTGGCGTTTAAAGTTGAAAGATGACACTTTAGAAGTATCTTTTTTTACACAGATAATTGCTGCATCAATATTTACAAAACATTTGATGTTGTGCAAAATATAGTGCAAAAATATAGCCAAGTCTTTAGAACAGCATTAATAGATTATAAAAAAAAGTAATCATGTAAAAAAAAATTTTTTATGCTGAATGATCCTTCAATCATATTTTGTAAATTATGATTGTATATATGAAAGAATTGTTCAGTATAAAAAAAAATACAGAAATTATTCCATGTCCATGTTAACAGTATAACAATGAATTATAACATAAATATATGTAGGTTCGTATTAATAAATTAATTACAAATATAACAATGAAGATATTGAGCCAATGCCAAATGTATTTGCTCCAACCATCTTATTTAATACGTAAATCAAACGCTTCGGTCAAGATTTGAATATCTTCAGTGTGTCTAATCAAAAATAAAAAATTTTGGTCTAAAATACTAATCACACAATTGAGGTAAAAACTATAAAATTACAAAAGAAAAACCAATACAAAAATTAATAAAATATAGTGATTAATGGGATTGAGAGCCAATGCCGGATGTTCTTTGCTGTTTATTCTTTTTCCAAATTTTCTTTATTAATGAGTATACGTTTCGGCCACTATCGGACCGTAATTATTAATTACGCTTGGGACAAATATGCGTACTCACTATTTTTATTACGTTAGAAGGCACTTTGGTATAGAAACGTGCCATATTCTCAAGGACTTTATCAAATTAATCTCTAACGACATAAAAATCAGATCTCGTATTAAATTTTTGATACCAGGGCTGTGTTCCGAAATTCACTGCCAGTACTGAAAATCTACAGTTTACGTAACGTATATTGTAGATTTTCAGTACTGGCAGTGAATTTCGGAACGCAGCCCAGGTATGTTACAACGAATTAATTTACACTGTCGAGAATGTATTTGTAATTTTTAACCGTCAAATTTTAGCTATTGTACTGAAGATGGCCCGATAGTGGTTGAAACGTATACTCATTAATAAAGAAAATTTGGAAAAAGAATAAACAGCAAAGAACATCCGGCATTGGCTCTCGATCCCATTAATCACTATATTTTATTAGTTATTGTGAGCCCTTCAAGATTGTATGTTACAAAAATTAATATTAAAACACTGAAGATGTTCAAATCTTGACCGAAGTGTTTAGTTTATTAAACAGAGCTCGGAATTAGTTCAGTATTGCAGCGGTTGACGCCGATTCTTGCGATTGACGCCTCCTTTCCTCTCTTTACCGCGCGCGCCGCAGCCGCTAGAACCAGCACCGCCGAGCATCAGGAGCGGCACCATCCAATTAGGGTGCGTTTGGAAACTACACCTAGAGTGAAAGTTGTTGTTTATTGTCTATAGTATACGTTACGTAAAACTCTGGGTGTAGTTTCCGAACGCTTCCTTAATGATTGGGTTTTTCTCTCTTGATATTTAAAATTAAAAAAAAATGTATTAAAAATAATTGAAGCAAATACATCTGGCGTTGGCTCGATATCCTCATTGTTATCCATATCATTATATTTACAATGAATTATGTTTTCAGAAAATGGTTCCATCAAATGAAAAACAGGTAAGATCATACAAACAATTAAATGTTCCTCATTATATTAGTTACCTGCTATAAATTATAAACAATATTAAGTGAATATTTGTACAAAACATGAACAAAAATTAAGATCATTTGTCAATTTTATTGCATATTTTTTTATTAATTTATTTAATCTTTAAAAAGCTCAGCATTATTTTACATTATTATTTCATATATTTTGTAAAATTTTTTATGAGACTGAGCAATAATAAGTCTCAAATAGACACTATACTCTTTACAACAAACATAGTCAATTTCTCAGATATAAATCTTGTTGAATTTTCACTGAAAAATTTCCAAAGTTGGTTATTATATTTATCAACAATATGCTATTACTTTGAATTATATTAAACACAACAGTAAGAATTTCTTTTATTTTGTAGCGTGACATAAAAATATGTGTGGGACGATTGCCAGAAACTGGTGGTAGCAATGAATTGCGACAATTTTTCATGCGTTTTGGTGAGGTAACCAACTGCATCATTACAGAACATCGATATGCCTACATTTACATGACACATCAGGAGCAAGCAAAAAAGGCGATCGAAGCATTCCACAATACCTATGGGTCGCCGACAAGATCCCTTGAGGCCGTGGATCAATCGATCAGTGCGATCAACATGGATATGGACACCAATAATTGACCGGAAAGTCACACGGAAGAGGAGTTGATGCAGAATAAACGATTTTTTTAATAACTATCCCGTATAGAATAAAAAGTTCATAACGTTGTATATGTAAAAAATTAAAACATTGCTTAATATTGAAACAACATTGTATGACTTTCGAATAACATCTAAATGTCCTAATTAAAGGTCGACAAGAGTGATAGTAGCATTTCTGTCGGAATAGATATAAAACACAGAATCGTAATTTTCGCCTTTTAAACTATAATACTAGTTCAGCTGTTTTATTAGGGTGCCGTCACATGCAGCCCGTAATCCGTAATCCGCACCGGAAGTCCGCAAAAGTTACTAGATATTTCGTCCGTAACGTTGCGTGTGTTTTTACAGAGAGAAGCCTGAGAGACGCCACGGCCAGGTTTACGTGATCCGCCAAAGCCATTGAGTTCTATAACATACTGGAGCGAGCCTTCCTATCCCGAACAAAGAAAACTGCGTCCGCGATTTAGAAAAGGACACATATAGCAATGTGACATTGGGCTTGTTCGTTTTAACTGCACTGGGGCAGCTCTGGGTCTGCTCTAAACAAGATAATACAGGACAAACTATTTATCTGTCCTGTATTATCCTGTGTAGAGTAGACCCAGAGCAGTGTAGCTAAAACGAACAAGCCCAGAATCTCTGTGTGAGAATCGCTACATCAATATGGCGGAAAGCAGTCCCCCCCGCACGCTTGAATTACCATCCCCTCTCGCTTAAACTAGGACTTTAGACTCGGTCCCTCTTCCTTAGTCCGTGGTATATAAACCCTTTTATAAACACTGATATACTATCTCACATAGAACCCGTAATCCGTAATCCGCACCGAAAGTCCGCAAAAGTTACTAGGGATTGCGTCCGTAACGTTACGTGTGTTTTATCTCCTTGAGTGCGTTCGAAAATAAGTTTGGTTGGTGTTGGGAAAAAGATAAAGTTGGCAGTATTGAAATTACCAGTGCTGCGTTTCGTTTCTTCCACTGGGATCATTGGAATTATACGTTATACCAGGGATCACTGAGGTTTGTTGAGGTTATTAAGGACATAAAAAAATTTGCTATTTGAGGTATTATGAAAGAGGTAAAGAAGAAGTAAAACATATTTTATAATAATATGCTTTATCTATATATATATAAATAAATATATATGCTATAGTTATTATATGTAATAATTAATGTAATCATAATTAAATACAGTAAAACAAATGTATTCTAACCTTTACTTCTTTTTCTCTTTTTATAAATTATTGTTTCTTATATTTAAATGTAACATAATTGTGTAATATTTACAGATCACTTCTCTTGTTACTTATTATACGTCTCTTAAACATATATTTAAAAAATGAAGAAATCTGTGCAATTAGTTAAGAAACACAACACTCGTCAATTGAAGTTGCTTGATGAAATAACCAATATAGAAT